TATTTATTTAATAAATAGAACTTACCTTTTTCGCTCAGCGATAAACCAGCGATTGAAATATCATTTACTTGGCTACGAATCCAAAAGAATTTCTTATAGATGCTTCTTGTTAGAAACACCTTTTATTCTTTAAAAAAAATGCTATCACGACAAATGACAATATTTAGTAAAATTATATTCTATAGATCAATACGATGTTAAAAAATACAGTTTCGTCGATTTCAAAATAAAATATTTGCAGAGTGAAACCAAAGATTTCAAATTGATTTGATTTTGTTAAACAAGGAAATTAAGGCAATATTTCTTTGATAATTCTTAGAACTTCATTAATATGTTGAAAGTGAAGAAGACAAAAGACCATATTCAACCGATTTATTTTTTAAGGTCAAAGTATTTGTTATGATAAAATTTACAAAAAAAAAGTACGGCAATTTATGAACTTATGAAGACGTGCTTACACTAAAGTTAATTAAACTTATTTTTTGAAACCGTATTCTCCATTTTTTTTTTTAATCTTTTTTATTTTTGACGATGACAAGAATGATATATCGTGCGCCAAGTGATATCATCGAAGGTTTGACAGTATAATATTAAAAATATAAATGGACATACTTTATATATATTATATCCATAGACCTTACAAGCCAATGCTTCAATTTTTTTCAAATATCAAGGATCCAAGTAGGTTTTTATAACAATTAGCACGTAATATAAAATATACCTTTGTTATGTATCTTAAATAAATAATAAAATTTATACCTAAAATACATACAATACAGTATGCTGTATGTAATAACTAAGTAGCGAAAATATTTTTATTGAAATATTTAGCCACAGGGGTGATCCTTGTACTATTTAGGTTAATTTTCGAATTGATCACATGATTTATCCGCATAAATATACCGTAAACAGCAAATTATTTTGTTAATTCCCTAGATGTGGAAATAAATTTTTTTATCTTTATTTATAATATTTGGTCACAAAGAAAATAGATATATTGAAGATAACCAAATATTTACCGATATAATTATTACAGGTATTGACAGTGACGAAATGGATAGCATATGATTACCGACCGTTTTTGATCGGTTTAAAAAAATACTTTGTATTTACATTTCAGTTACATATAATTTTTTAAAAAAAAGTCAATTCTGCACCACTAAATATGCAAGTCAAATACCTAGAGAAGAAATACATATCAATAAATAAATCAAAACATTTATAAAAATTTTAAAAAAATTCTTTTATATAGGGAAGCTTCAAAGAATACCATGTTATAATAGTTAAGATAAAAATTAAGATTATAATTATTTTGCTCAATAAATCTTTCTCAATAAAATCTTTCAAAAAAATATTTTAAAATGCATTATATTTAAATATAGTAAATAACTCGCAGATCTCGGTTAAACGTTAACTTTGTTCTGCATATCGCATTTTTTTTTTTTTTTTTTTTTTGTTGCTTGAATTTCAATATTTTTCTCTAATAATAATTATTGAATAATTTGACTTTATCGAAGTTTCAATAGAAAGAAGAAACTTATTTTTTTTTTTTACTGAATTATTATAACAAGCCGATAATATTTAACTCACGAATACATTATTAGAAATATTTATTATGACCAAAATTATGAACTTTTACCGCGCGATCTTTAAAACTAAAAATTTCAGTTTCCTTAAATTCTACAACTTTAAGTCTCCATATTTGTTCTTATTCAATTTCATCTTTAGATGGTTTTAATCGTTGTACCACCTAATACTTTTAAAATGGTAAATGAATCACAATCTAAAGGAAGCTTGATGATCGTTATTGTAATTATTTGTATAAAAAAAAATTAATCTTAGAACTTTCTGAATATGAAATCTCTTTAGCTCCGGTGATTAATTATCTTTTAATAGAATTTATTTATCGTACAGGAAAAAAATTTCAGTTTTGAAATGAGTAAATTTTTTTTTTTGTAAAACGAAAATTGTATTAATAAATAAATAATAAAAGAAATAACGAGTGGATTCCGTTGGCGTCTTTAAAGTTTGATTCTTTCATTATTAAATGATTTCGTTTATAGCATATGTCAAAGACTAACAAAGAAAAAATCGAAGACAAAGAATTTATTCACATTTTAATATGAAAAAGTGCATCATGATTAGTTACAATGTTATTTTATGTAACGCGAACTTGAGAGATTAATGAGTTTCACAAAAAAAAAATTATAATTGGCAAAGATTTTACAGTGCTTTTTAAAGTTCTAATAATTTCAAAAAAAAAAAATGCAAAAAAAAAAAACTATACATTTATCATATGCATAAGTAAAACTCAACAAAAAAAACAAGGGTAACTAGTTGCCTTAATCTGTTTCATTATCTCAATGCAAAAAACTATGCAGGAGTGCAGGGTATTATCAAAGAAAATATATTCGGATACTTTATGTATCCGGACAATATCAGAAGCTTAATCCGAAGATGAAATGCTGTGTCACAATATAAGTTAGCACAGCAAGTCATTTTGTTATGTATTATTTATTACACGAAAATTTAAAAAAAAATTGGCTCAAAAAATTGACCTTTTCAAGAAAATAAATAATAGCAAGAAATTTATTACTTTTTTTCAACAGATAAGCTAATAAAGTTGTCATTTAATTAATACTTATCTAACATTTCAAAGAGTAAATCAGGATTAAGTGTCATTTCAGCAAGCATAATGATCGCGCAATATTTTATATGTTAAACTGCACATATATCGATTATACTACAAATATACAGTATTTACGTATGACCTAAATTTTGTTCTCATAGTGATTAACATTGAGAAGTGTCATTTCATGAAATTCATTAAAGACCCTAGAGATAGCCAAAGAAAATAAAATATTTTTATAATAAGTCTCAGTTATATCGTTATATAACATAATTTGTAAAAAAATTATAAAAAAGGAAAAAAAATACATAAATAAAATATTTCATATTTTTGATAATACTTTCCTTTTAGGTCAGTCAGTTTAAATTGAATCGTGTATGATTATAAAAAAAGAAAAATAGTATAAAATAGAAATAAATGGAAAAAAATGTCAAACATACATACAAAAAAAAAAGCGGCTAAATATTTTTTTTAGTAAATGCCCGGACTCTGACCAGTATCCATCCTGGGTGTCCTAAAATATGGCTAGATATGTGCAGATAATGTGTTGAAACGCGAAGGAGAATTTTTTTTGTAAACCGACGTTATTAATAGATATCCTTTCAATCAAATCATTTCAGTACATTTATAAAGAGTAGCACTTTCAATCAATACATTTTCGGTATAATGAAAGAGTTAAGAGAATTATATTTATACAAATAGAAAGTTTTCTTTTATAATTGGGACATTTTTATTCGTTATAGTTTATAGAATAATGAAAAAATGCATCCCTTACTAAAGTTTGCCCCAAAACTAAAAAAAATTAGTGATACACTCCTTCTCAACAATGTTAAAGTTCGTGTAACGTAATACTTATTTCTATGATTTTATTAAGATAGACTCAATATGGTTTCATCGAATAAACACTAAAAATGAACCCGATTATATAAATACAAGACCTTTTCTTTGAAATTTTCATCAAACATTCCTTTGTCAAATAAGAAATTACTTTGACTCATAAATTAATGATAGAATACATATACAATCAAATGTGAAGTGTTAACCAAGATTTAATTTTCTCGAGTATGAGAGCGTAAATACAAATTAGCATAAATTTTTTCTCGACGATTTAATTTTGTGTTAAAACGCGTGAATTATTATTTAACTGCGTGAGTTTTTTTGACAGATCTAAGATCCTTGTCACAAAAAAATGTACATTCCTAGATAATTTCTGGACATTTTAAGATAAACCGAAAAGCCTTTCTTTTTTTCAAAGTAAACTTGAAGGGTAGGTAAAATACTAATTATGATATGTTCTTATAGTTTACAAATAATCAAATAATTAAAGTAATTTTGTTAAGCTGGTTAATTTATAAAATTGGCTGTTTTTTTTGGTGTATTTTTTAACACAAATTCCGGACGAATTCCAGTCTATCATGTTTTAGTACGAATTCCGACATAAATGTTCCATAAGGCTTCACGATGAACAGCTTGATTAAAGAGTTTGCAGCGTAAGGACAAAGTTTGACTATATTTCACTGGAAACTCAATTTCTTGATGAAATTTACAATTCCAAGCAGTTAGAAAACATTAATTAATAAAATTTTACGAATCGCGAACTTATAATAAATTAGAACAATAAATAGAAATGTAACACGTTTCATGTAAAATTTCTCATTTGTTTGTATGAATTAATACGTTTCTTAATAAAATAAATATTTAATCATTATTTAAATACACTTGCCATTTTGGTAAATTAATTGTAAAATTTGTTTGTTAATTTCGAAATTTGGTATTTTCACCCATTTTATCCTAATAATTCGTACCGTATTCCAGAAAATTCATAGGATACATATGATAAATATGATAAATAACACTTTTCAAACTAAACTTATATATAACGTGTACAAGATCGTAATAAATAGTAATATTATAAATAAGTCACTTATTTGTTTTGTTTCAAGGGTGAATACTTTTTTTAGACAATCTCTTTTTTTTCAATTATGAAAAGCAAACTTTAAAAAACAACCATTCACAGTTAATTTTCTTATCATTCAATAAAGCACAAAAAATTTTTTTCTGTAATATTGTATTGGTTAAAAATTAAACAACAAAGATATTTGGTTTTATTTAAAAAATAAATAAATAAATAAAAAATTATAAAGAATATGACTTTTGTTGGAATATATAAAAATTAACGATTACGTTATTTGATGTACTTTGTATAAATAAATTTTACATATAGATACTTTAAGCTTTGGTGAAACTTTTAACTTAACCATAACTTAGATCAGAAATATTTTTAATAGTAAAGTATTATTTCTTCACATAAGCATATCTATAAATACTGCTTTGTTTTTTGTTGATGAAGCTAAAATCAAGTTAAAAAAAAATGTCCTCTGCATCTAGTCAAATGCCATCAAGCAATGTAAATGCTGAACAAAATGATACAATCTTGCGTATCGAGAATATGTCAGTGCAAATTACCAATAATACCTTGGTAAATGAGTTTTATAATGGTCGTCCTTTTCCAGTACCACCAAAAATAGACACCGAACCCTCTATGTATGATACGATAACCGGATTTAACGCATTCTAAACGATTTATTCGAAAGAAAAAAAAATTGCAGGTGAGAAGCAGCCTAAAGCCCTTTCTTTTAAATGAACTAATTGATTAACAACATTTCGTGCTTTGCTAGCGCTATCAACTCTGTATTCGATGTGAATGACTTTCTTTCAAATTTATGAACTTTTTTTTTTTATAAATATATTTATTCTACGCGACTTGATTCATTAATTCTTTTATAATATTAAAATAAGTTTGTTTTTAAATAGAAATTATCTTTATACATTCATATTTGTCAAATAATTATCTAAATTATATCATGCTAGATAATAATTTCTTTTTTAAAGAAACGTTGTCTTAAGATTCGTCATATTAAATTTACCTTTGTTTTAAGTAAAATTAGGGATCATGTTGGTAGTATTAATAAAGAACATTTGTACATTCTTTCATTATTAATAAATTTGGTTTTATTTTCTCGGCTTAAACCGAGTCATTTTGTAAAGTAGGATTAAAATTTACGATTGAAACTGCAATTTCATTTTTGAAACTCAACCAAATTGTCAAGTCGGATAAGGACCTTAATGGATGAGAATTTTTTTAACTCAAATTTAACAGTGATTTTGAAGTAAAATAGGCCCGTTCATTACTAAGTTTCTTTAGAAATTTTAAGCGATCTCAACTAAGCAAATAAAAGTAATCAATAGTTTTAATTATGCAATTAGACCGATTAGACTGACATATAGGTACGCTTGATTTCAATGGCTTATGCACACCGTAAATTATAATCGTAAAATGAAGAAAATCATCCGGTTTGGGAGGTGTATATTAAAAAATTTTCTGCAAATAAACCAAATAAACGGCAAATACAAAAAGATTAAGTCGCGTAATGCAAATTCTATTTGACGCTTTCAACTAGCACATAATAACGCTTAGAATCAGAATACCATGTCAAGTATTTGTTTAGGAAATTTATCAAAGGTTTCACACATAAAGTTCAGTGTCACGTCAAGCATCATTTGTTTTCATTGTTATAAACAAAATACAAAGGGTTATTATAATGTACGATTACATAATATACAAAAGGCACGTAATAAATAAATTGAAACCAAACTCTCGAGCTTTTAAGTTTGTTTAACCGACCAATTAAATGGCATACAGAACAATACTAAGAAACAGGTAAAAAAAATATTATTATTGATCGTTTTAGGTTCATAGCATGTGATATGCCAATGATTTATGGACATTGATTATTCATTCAATTGTTTGATAGTCTCATTATAGTTGATTAATATACATTTGATGTGTTACGCGTAATAATTATGATCGCTTATTAAACTTTAGATTCGCCCACTTTCTTTAACAAGCGCATATATGAAAGATGATGAAAGACGAACAAGGAAGCTACGGAATTCGTGAATACATTTTTTTGTTTTTTGCCAAATTAGGTTACTCGATTGACTGCGGCAAAGACGATCAATGTATTTGACACTTCGGACCCAATGGACTGATCATTTTTGACATCAGGAATCAATCAAATTGTCTATCCGTCATTCAACCGCAATTAAATTGCTATCTTTAAAGGATTCGGTAGCAAAGCCATGAGGAGGTAATTTATAAAATAGATACAATCTGCTCTTAGTTTTCGATAGGATTGAATAGGATGGCATTAGAAACTTTCTTTTCTCTAAAGGTCTAAAGGCCTACCTCCAGTTAAAATTCCAATAAAATAGTTGTTTATCCGGCAGCGTAAATATAATTCTTGGTTATTGGAATATACCTTCTAATCATCAAATTGATCTTTGTTAGGCCAAAGTTATTAATAAATGATTAAATATCATCTTCTATCGTCACATCATTTAAATTTATACAATTACACCAAAATTTGTCTAAAATAATCATAATCTTTTAAGATTGGTGCGCTCTATGAATTCTAAATCACGTGTCCAGCATGGAAAATATTTTTGGTAATAAATTTGTCGAAAATATTTTATTTTCATATACTTTGTAATTTTTAATAAACTCCATACATATTTAAATCAATACGTTTGACAAAAATTCATATGCCACTGAACTTCTTTACTTTAATATAGAATTAAGTCTTATTAAGTGTTGAAATTATACTGCGAATGAAAAATAAAGAGAGACACAGTTAGTTGCTTAATAATATATTAAATCAATTTATTTTTGAAAAGCAAATCGAGATTACACTGTGAAAAGTTTTCGCGTATATATTTTGAAAATAATAATTTTTCTCTCGTTTCAAATTCATGTAAGTCTGCAAGTCAGCAAATCATGAGATCGGATGATCGGTGTTCATAAAGGAAACCATGACGGAATTCATGTGAATTTCCCTGCATTATACAGTACGTATAATTTTTTTTTTCTAAGTATAAAACAAAGAAAGTTATTTTAATTTTATTTGAAAATATTTACAACTGTGAATTGAATTTTTTATTTATTTAAATATTATAATACAAACTTTAATCATTGTTTATTCTTAATTAGTCATAGTTTCTGCTTTGACCAAATAAAAATTTCAAAAATTATTTGTTTGTTACACTGTATATTTTGACTCAATTCATTATCTCGTTGTCTTCATTCTTTATTTATACTAATAAGGTTTGTAATTAATCATTTGTTATTCAGAATAAACTACCATTGTATTAGAAAAGCATACATGCATACTTATGTCATTTATGTCATGCGTTATGAGATAACCACATAACGAGAATAAACATATACGTTTACGCATGCGAAAAAATTATTAAACATATTTGCAGACTTTAAGTTATGCACCAATAAGTAACACCAAGTACTTATTTGGGGAATATCTAACGATGCAATAGGTAATTTCTGAATGGACTGTATCGGGTTTTTCAATAGCGAGCAACATTTTTTTTTTCTTTCTTTTAGATAAAATGGCTCCAAATGCATGATTAAAAAACTTTAAATGCATAATTTATAATTATTTCACGAATAATTTAAAATACAAGCCCATCTTAATTTATCAGCAAAAATCATAAATTATATCAAAACCTAATTTTACTTTGAATGTCGAGACTTTTAGAAAGTATTGACAATTTTGATTATTTGCAAAATTTAAGGAGTTTTAGCAGGCTGCTGGATGACTCAACTTTCGTGTAAATAAACTAATAAATAAAATGATAAATTGAAATTTTTTTACGTTATTTTATTTATTTTTATATATTTATTTATTTTTTGTTTTGATTATCAATTAATATTTAAGCTTTTTACATTTCTCTTACGGGTAAATTATAATGTTACGATTACTTTATTTTATTTCATTAAAAAATTTTCCTAAAGTCCTGAATAAATTCTAAGTAAAAAGGAAGCATAAATTTTAAAAATAAATATTCATTTTATTTATCATCGTAGTTCCACGAACAATTATATATCAATTGAAATCTCATTGTAATATCAAAAGTTTTATGGGTTTACACTCATCGAAACTTTGCGGTTTTTGCCTTTAATAAAATTTGCAAACGTTTTACCTAGGGATGTTAAACGGTCCCAAATAACTGTAAACAAATATTGAAATTACGAGTTATAGAAAAGTCTAATCGCTTATCTATAATAAGTAACTCTTGATAAATAATTGTAATAATAAATTTTATGAATAACATATAAAAGAAATATGAACTTTGGAATCGACAATTAACATGGGACCGCCAAGGTGGGACCTGGTCCTTAGGACCGGATCCCAAGTTTCAAAAATTAAGATTCTGGGTTCCCGCATAAGTTTAATATATATTTTTAATAAATATTCAATTAACAAATTATCATTAGAAAATATAATATAACGCCAGTAAAATAAAAATCTTCTCTAGAACTGGCAAATTTATTGGGACTTTTAGGACCGTTTAACATCCCTAGTTTTACCTCAGCGTTTTGCCATGCAACCTTATTATATAAATGAACAAAAAAAAAATGTTAATACCATTAACAACCGCAGAGATAACAATATTGATGACTTCTTTTTATAATTGCTCCTGCATTAAATGGAAAAGAATCTGTCAAGCAAGATAAAGGAAATTTTATTTTCTTTCTATTTTTAAGTTTGAGCCACATTTCCCAAAAAATTTTAGGTTATGGATTACGGAATATTTTGTACCCGCATGATCCGTTTAATATTGTTCTCAAACTCACGTGATACACAAAGAAAGATCTTCATTTGGTCTCGACTGTTTTTCTTTAAAATGTCAACTTTTTTTCTTCCGGTGCGATAATTTAAGCGGGACGATATAAATAGAGTTGATAATTTTAAAGCAAAATAATAAAACAACATGTCATATTTTAAACATGCATTTCACGTTATTACTATAATTAAGTCGAATTTTCTTTATCCTGATGTCTAGCATGGCACGAAAACGATTTACCATTGGTAAATTAAAACTTTAACAGGATTTTTTTATTTTAATAATAGATTAATGCCTTAATTTTATTATTACAAAGAAATTTACATAAAAATTTCTATTTACATTTTTCGTATAAATTAGTGAAAAATCTCTTTTAATCAACCTCTGATTTAATTTGTAAATAAAAAGTGCAATTAAAATCGTGAGGTATCATCGACTCGGAAATTATCAATGGAACCCATCGAATTTTGCCAAAAAAAGAAAGGTCGGTGGTTTTGCGAAAGAATAAGTGCCGTCAAACTTTACTATAAAGGATCCAAAATGAAAAATGAGAAGAAAATATTTTTTTTCTATGATTAAATTGTCATATTTCATTCTAAAATAAGAACCATTCTTCGGTAACATCGTTCAAAATATAAATTATTTTCATTATCATTAATTTAATATTTTTGGTCCATCAAACAATATATAAGCATCATTTGGTGATATTTTGATATGTCATTACAATTAACCTTTTTTTTTCATTGCAATTGCGATAATTATTATAATTTTATTTTCAATGAATTGTATTGCACACACTTCTTCCATGAGGAGCGTTATTTCTCTTAACCCAATTCAAACTTTTAAATATAAGTGTACATAACATAACGAAATTCTATTATGATGAAGGGCGAAATGATTCCTTATCCGATTTATCACTTTTTAAAAAGTTATTCATAATGTAATGTTCATCTTTATCGATTTGTACATTAGGCGACGACATGTTTAGACTTTTTTTTTTTTAGAAATTTGGCTTATACTTGAAGTTTCGTCTTTGCTTTCGATCGATCAATCGATCTTCTCGATTTGTAAATGGATTTGATTATTCGTTTATGCGGTCTGAACTAGAAATGAACAGGCTATTCCTTTTATTTCCTTTATTCAATTTAAAATATTCATCTACTTTATTTGCAAATTAATGAATAATGTGATACACACGTGAATATTTTATTTTTGCGCCGATCAGCCAACTTATCGAAAATAAAACTAGCCAACATTTTTGTAATAAATTAATTAATCCAAAAAATATATTTTTTAAATTAAGAATAAGAAAAAAAAACAATTTATGAGATTGATATCACATTACTTTCGAATATGAATACAAAATTTGATATTCGAAAATAAATACGAATTGAATTGGATAATTTATAATTTAATTAAATAACATCCGCTCAGACTTTTTTTAATTTGCCATATTTTTATTGAATTCATGCAAATTTATTTTTGTCAAAGTGGGTCAAATATAGTTTATCACAAACATTAAATATAGTATATGCATTCTTGCAAATTTTTTTTTAAAACATTTAAGGATGTTTTATTTGATGAATCTACCGCCAAGTATTTATTTTGACGATCAAGATTGCGGGTAAACATTATTATCAAATTACAATCTTCAATAAATTGATGTTATTTAATTCGATTAATTAACGATCGATATGATTGGCCATAATGAAATCCGTTTTTTCGGCGGATTCGAATATATAATTATTTTATGCAAGCAATATTCTATTGGAAATACAATCTCTACATTTCAGAATTATAATAATATTTATTCATTAGTTTATCTCGTGGAAAACAGATATAATCAAAAGCGCATGTGGAAAAGAAAAAATATTTTTTTAACTTTATTAAACAATTTTTTTTTTGTCCAAAAAATCCTTAGCCAATACTTTTTTTAATCTTACTGTAACAATTAGGGCTAGTTTAGTTTAAGTTCATTTAAGGGTCAATTTAAGGGAACAACAATAGCTGGATTTATTTTGCCGGATGCTCTATTTGTGTATGTGAAGTGTAATTCTGTCGATATTACAATTATCAACAATTTGTCCCATACCAAATTTCTTTGTGATGTCATAATGCTGAGTTCATGTTTTATCGGTCAAACATCGATTTTCTTTTTTATTAAAAAAAAAGAATTTATATATAAAAACTAGACAACAAGTTCAATCCTCTCAAAACGTTATATTATTTTACTCTTATATAATTCCTAAAATAATTTATGACCAGATTTTTGGGTTTTTCCTTCGTAAAGCTCTATGATTTTCAAATCTACCAAGTTAGGTTAGCATCGGAGATTTATTTCCCCCGACATAGACGATCAGTTATATTTACTGTATATCAAGGAATTTCATTTGTTTAAAAGTTAACATTGTTTATATTATAAGAATAAGTTTTTTTTTTTTTGTTTTTTTTTATTGATGAAATTTTGTAAAATGGATATGCACAAAATAAAAAATCATTTAAATATAATAAATAGTTTCAAGTAATCAATTTATGTGATTACCCTTAAATTTAGCCGATAAAAGATCAGAATTCCGAAAATATCAAAATATTTAAATTGTGTTAACTTCTTCCGGTAGAGGCATACTTATTTTGAAATTCTAGACAAATGTCAATTGTGAAATTTCAAACATTCAAAAATTCATAAAGTAAATTAAAGTAAATTATATAAAAATACAAGGCTAGCATGCGTTTTAGGGGGTGAGAAACTTAGGTTTATTACTATTAATTAAATGAGTATTTTTCAGGCCAGTTAATTATTTTGATTGACAATAGAAAGAAGAAAATGAAACAAGGTAATAGTTGGATGTATGGAGAAAAGTAACAGATTGACGATTAATGACATTGGGTTGATTTACACAGAATTTTATAAAATATTGAAAAAGGAGGTAATACAAAAATGTAAAGTTCCATATTTATTGTATTCATTTATTCCAAACCTAGTCGAATACCGATTTCAACTTTGGATCATATCACTTCAAATTTGTATATAATTAAGGTATAAATATGTGAGTTGTAAGCATTTCCCAGTAATAATAATTACATTCAAAAATGACTTCGAATAGACCTTTTATCAATTTCGCTTTCATTAATAATGGCCGAATACTTAGCATACGATCTCAAAGAAGTATTAATCAAAGAAGACGAAATCGGTGTAGAAGGCAGCGAAATGCAAATTATCAATTCATAAATAATGAAGACACAATTAATCGAATCACAAGCCTTCCTACGCAAGTTGTAAATGATGAATATATAAATGGGTTTTTCAATGGTTCTTCGTTTATTTAAACCAACGTCATCGACAAAATTAATTATTTCAGGTGAGAAGGGCATTCATATTTTACGAGTAAATTTCAATTCATAAATGATGAATAAACATTGTTTCTCTTTTCTTTTCTTTACTTTTTACAACATCATAGCATTTCAAAAAGTCGTATTTTACTGTTCTCGTATTAAAATTTTATTATTTAATGCAAAAATATATGTTAAAAATATATGTTAATTTATGATTTATGTATGTACGTATTCACGATATCCAGTAGCCTTTTTAAATACTATTTATTTATAAATGTATGATTTCACGATTTTTATATGAACTTTTTATAAGGTTACGAAATTAAATAAGAAATCGGTAATATAAAATATTCCGAATTTTTGAAAAAATTTATAATAAACATTAAATCTTATCATTCTTTAAAAAAAAGTTCAAATCATGTTGGGTTTGACGCGTATTCGAACTCGTCCCGCATGTGAAACATGTCTGTTCGACACTTTAGGAGCACTATGATATTAATGTATACTAATCAAATAAACTCGTTTTTTTATAATGAATTGTTAATATATTTTAAAATGAGTTTCAAATAGCCAATTCACCTTTGGATAGATATCATACAGTTATATGTTTCAAATATTCAAGGACACCAATCTGGCAAGATTAATTGGAAGGATTGATTCAGAAGTTTAAACCATAACTGACGCGCCAAATATCAGTAATGGTCATTTACTATTTTTTTTAAATGACCTTGGTCATTTTGACTTGAAATAATAATAAAATGAGAGTCAATTGAGGTCATTTGAAAGTCGTTTCAAGGTCATTTGCCAACACTGTTAAATATTAAGCTGCAATAGTTGTCTTGATATATTAATGTTTCCAAAACGTAAATTGCTAATATATCATGCTAGATATGCATATTTACAACCATCGTCGCGTGTCTATAAGGAATCAAATGCAGGAATTGGAATCAATTCAAAAAAGTCGAACAATTTTAGAAATGATTGATGCGATTAAATGTCAGTCGAATTTTGATACTAAGATTCGATTTTCGGTGTATGTTATAGCGACTTATTCAATTGAAAATGTCAAAAAAAAATTTATTTAAAAAAATAAATAAATTCAAGAAACAAATTTGTTATTTGTCAACAAAAAAAATTAAATTTCATAACTTATACTTATGGTATGATAATTAGCTTTTTGGTATAGACATTTATAGATTTCGTAATTTTTTTTTTACAATTATTCGATTTCGGAAGTACATAAGGTGGGGTTTTTTTATTTTTATTTTTATTTGGATTCTTTAGCTTCGGACTGCAGCAATCGAAAGATATATTTTTAAAAATTAAATGCCGCTTGCTTGGATCGTCTCGGTTGTAATTTTTTTTCGATCTATTTCCTAATTAATGAGTTGCGTTACATCTATCTTCCTACGATCATGGTTGATGATTTTTGCCAAAGTACGGGCGGGTCCTTGCGATAAATCTTATTGGGTACCGATCATTAAAACTAAAATTTCTTATCAAGGTTCTACAATTTGTAATACAAGCTGTAAAAGAACTCATTTGGATTACTTTAAAATTTATATTTGGTTCTTTTGAGGGATAAAAATATAATTTTTTTATTTATAATCGAAAGTCAGAGAGGTCAAATAACAAATTTATTAATTTGTTTGTTATAAATAAAGGATATTATTTAATAAATTAAAAATCATCTTTAAGAACAATTATCATTACGAGTTTAGTATTAAAATTAATAGACGACCATCCTGAATTCAATATCACGACAGGTCACTTTGTCAGGTTTTCAGATTATTTTTATAAATTACAAAAATATAATATAAATAAATTTAACCAATAAAATTGTATACTCTTTACGCATGCGTTTATTTTAAACAATAATGCACATGTTAATATTGTTTGGTTGGTGTAAAGGCCATCATTATATTTTAAACCATAGCAAATAGGAATTTTCTGTAATTATTTTGAAAAAGAGGGATTTCCTCTTGTAGTCTGAATAGATTCAAATAGGTATGTTTCAATGTGATTATTTAGTAAAACAATTGATAATAAATTAAATATTCTTAAAAAAAATATGGATGTGTGACAATTTTCACTGTTTTAGGACGTTCGAAGAAATATAGATTGGTATTTATAATCCAAAAATGGATAATTCGTTATGCTTGTAAAAAGTCGATTTCGATTGATTTAGGACCTAATGTCATCATTATTTAAATTGAAATTCTTCAAAGGAAAATCTTTTCCAAAATATTACAAGCGGTACAATGATGTCGTTTGCTTACTACATATATTCACCAATAGATTACGAAAATTTCGAAATAAATCTTCAACTCATTTTATGTATAATATAAAAAATTATGCATACTGATTATTAGTAACCTCTCATGTGCATTACAATTAAAAAAAAAACCGATGTTTTTGTAGATTGTTATTCGAAAATTAAAAAGGTTTTGTTTTTTCATTGGTTGTTTTGAAGAAAAAATTTTGCGTAACATGAAGTCTTTATCTAAGATAATAATAATCAGTTCATCGTGAACTCTGGTGGGATGACTAGTTAGTTTTTTTTTGAATCGATTCATGAACCAATATTACGTATAAATAATAATAAAAAAAACTGACCTTGATAATCTAGAAATATACTTGCGCTACGTTTCCAAAAGTACTTCCTGTAAATGCTTCTTGTTAGAAAATTTTACAACGACGGAAAGCAAAATTTAATAAGATTGGATTATAAAAAATAGTTCCAGCTGTGGCAGATTCTAAAGTCGGCTCAGTCGTTAGATCCTTTTCATTCGGCTCAGCCGTTGTTTGAGTCGCGCCTCTCTTTTGAAATTAACAACCATAATTTTAAAAATTTAATTAATGTTGCAAAAAGTAGATATTCTCCAATTATTAATTATTAGGATATACTTCATCGATACATGCGAAAAGTTATGTTAAATGAGTAGGAAAAAAACTGTATTCAGATGAAACTTATTTCTTTTAGATCAAAGTTTTCAAGATCGAATTATGATAGAAACTTCAATTTATGAATTTATGAGACATGCTTACTGCAAAAGTGAATCTCAACATATTTTGAGAAACCAAAAATCTTCATTCTTTTTTCTTTTTTTTTTTCGAACGTCAAAGGTTAACATATAAGTTTGATAGTAAAATAAAAAATATAAATATTATCAAGTCTAGCAATCTTTTGAAATTGTCGATCAAATAATAAGGATCAAAGTAGGCTTTTATAATAAATACTATCAGATATCATATAAAAAATATAAAAAATACATAAAAATACCTAAACTGCATATTTAATTTAATAACTAAGTAACGAAAAAAAATAAAAATATTTTTTATATTTGGAAAATTTAGCCACAGGGGGTGATCCTTGAACTTGGGTAAATTTATCGAATTGCTCTCCGCATAATCATATGCAAGTCGTATGTTGTTAATTTAATAAGGACAATTTTTTTTATCCTAAATTTACATATTTGGACACAAACATAATGGTATAGAGATTTGAAGTACCAGATATTAATATTGCATAATCAATTTACTACGTTTGGAAATAACTAATATCTTCTTTTTTTTTTTTACTTATATTGCCAAGATAGTTTATATTTCAATTAAATCGAAGCTTTCAAATTAATTCTCAATCTTTATTCTGATCAAAATTCTGAATTATATTACTCACCGATAGAAGAAGACTAAGCAATTTCAATTACTCTATACGCCAAGGCTATATTTAGTTACCATTGGTGTCATTTCCGACGATTTTACTTATGTCATCCTAACTTTAAGCAAGGAAGCTGATAATCATGCACTTTGTGATTATAATTGATTGTAAAAAAAATAACATATAACTTTCTACACATGAAATTTCCTTTGTTTTGATGATTAGCTATCGATAATTGATTATCATACAAGAAAAAAAACTCAATCAGTTTTGTTTAAGAAGAAAGTTGTAATAAATAATATATAAATAAATAATAAAAAGGAAATAACGAGCCAGGCTCCATTGGCGTTTATAAGGTTTGATTCATTCTTTATAAAAATTCATTTCGTTTATGATATTGCCAAAGATGAAAATTACCAGGGAGTTCAATCTCGTTTTATGTGAACAATCGCATCTATTTTTTTCATTACAAGGTCATTTTAGATTCAAATAAAGCGCCTGTAAGATTTATTTTTTTTTAAAAAAAAAAAATTTTATCATAAACAACAATAAAAAATCACATTCATAAATAATCCAATTCTAGAAACCAATGAAAGAGAAGCAACCATAAAAAAAAAAAAAAATTTAAATTGCTATATACTTTCATCTTATAATATACTAAGTAATATCGATCAATAAAAAAAGGATTCTTTTTGTACAAGGGTACTAGCATATTTAGAATGAAAAAAACCTTGCCATATTCTGCTTAATCTGCAATAATCACACAGCACAATAGAAAATTACAATAGTTATGCAAGGCATTTTTGTTCAAAGAATATATATTCGGGAGCTTATATATTCGGACAATGTCGGAAATTAAAAAATGTGCTAATTATAATTAGAAATTTTATTGAATAAAAAACGATTTCAAAATCGGCAGATGGTTACACATGTTTTAGTGTCTTTCGTTTGATAATATTCATTACGTTAAATTTTTTTTGCGCATATTTTTACAATTACAAATAGTATTAATACATATCGATATTATTTTCTTACAAATTTACATATCTTTTAAAAGATTTTCTTACAAATATTACGTATAACCAATTAATAAATTTTTTTGATATACTTTAAGGTGAACGTAGACGGAATTACAAAAAAAGCTACAAAAGATGAAGAAAAGAAGAAAATGGCTCGTAACATGATTTTTATTATAAATATTTTCAACGGGCAATAAAGGGGTGGTATATTCATTCTGTCAGCAATCATTATGAAACGCGCAGTATATGTATTATGCCTATTGATAACTCGCAAATATCGATTAAAAACGTACGTACATGTACATATATTATAAACGCATGATAAATTTTGCTAATATAATAACAAAACAAAACAATTTTATATTAAAAATATTATTTCGACATCTACGAAAGAAAAGAATTTCAAAATAAAATTTATATGAATTCTTGTTATGTTATTTATTACATTAATTGTAAAAAAAAAATATATATATATAAAAAAAAAAAAAATTAAAAATACCTATCAAATTTTTTTTCCTATAAAAAGAACAATGATCGAATTTAGTAAAATGTCCGGACTCTGACCAGAAAAAATCCTGGCGCGTACTAAAATGGCTTAGTATGACCGGAACATGTCTAGAAAATGTTTGATGGATAAAAAATTTTTTTTTTAAAATAGACGAAATAATCCTTTCATTCAAAGCCTTTCAGGACTTATCAATGAGTTATATTTCAATCGATACGCTTTCGGTACACAGTTACATATATACTTATTTACACAATTAGTGAACTATAAATGCTTTTCTATAATTGAGGGGTTTTTTGATTGTATCAATTATCTTTGAAAAAAAATCTTTTAGTAGTTGTTTCTAAATAAGCAAGTAGTAGAATATGTAAGTGTAACAAAATTTTGTCTCCAACGTTAAGAAAAAAAATTGGTGATACCTTGTGTCATCCTTTTCAACAATGGCACATATTCACAAGTTAACCTATCTTTTAAGTTTCGTGTAACGTAATGCTGCTGATTTCTTTAATTTCGTATTAAAAAAAAATATTTTATCAAAAATTAGAACCTAATATGGTTTCATCGTAAAGACGAACAGAAAATGAATCCACTCATATAAATACACGACCGACACGACCGATTGAAAAAAATTCTTTTTATTTCTGAATTTCATCAAACAATATTATGTCACGGACGCAACTGAAAAAATACATTTATAAAATAAATCATACCTCAGCGCGTTTAGATTCAAGATCGCTCTTGTATCCAATCAAATATTATTATGGTAGGATGTTGATAAGGTGATCAAAAGTTTCATGACTAAGTACATAAAGTAAACCAAAATAATGGTTGATAAAATAAATTTTTTACAACTAATTAATTAATTAAATTAAGGAAAGAAAAGGGAAGAGAAAATGAAATTACCAGCCAGGCTTATATTTCCTAAGAACTTATATCATACATAAATTTTCTTGACGACGATTTGATTTTGTGCTACAACGCGTAATTCAATTTAATTATTTTTAACTGCGCCATACCGAATAAGTTTTTGGAAGGGTTTGTTCAGAAAGCTTGCTAGTCACCCAAAAGCCACTGTCGCCGTTTCTGACCCGACATATGAAAATTGTATTGATTAAAGAGTTTGTAGGGAAAAGGAACTATCTCACGATTTCTTGATAAACGTTCAATTTCAAAATATTAATTTAGAGTAGTTTAAATCGTAAACATATTACAATAAAATCAGAATATTAAGTAGAAATGTAAAACAATTCATGTAAAGTTTTAATCATATCATTTGAGTATTACAAATAATAGCTAATAAAATAAATCTTCAATCATTATCTTTTTATCTAGCCATGTATGGTAAATTCATGACAGATATTATCAATGAATTATATAACCACTTTTAACTTAAAGTTTACTGTAACGTATACAAACACCGTATTAGATAGTAAAATAAAAATAAATCAAATTGTTTTGTTTAAGGTTCAGCCCTATTTAATTTGAAACTTTTGATTAGACAATCTCATTTCAACTCTGAAGAAAAAATTTTTTTTTTATACTTTAAACCTTAAATTACAAAATTCATATTTCAATAAAATTTTTTTTGAGGTACTAGTTTAAAAGTTAAACAAATTAAAATGATCTTATAAAGATATTAATATAAATACATAAGCTTGCATAAAATTTTATTAATTTACCAAATATGAAGATTAAGTTTTGTTGAACCAAATTTCAAATTTATTTTGAAAGTAAAGAGTTGCAAAATGATACTTTAAAATTTTATGAAACTATATATTATAAAATTTTTTAATTGAAAAGTTTTATTAAAGAAGAATATTTCCCAGAATGACAATTTATACACCACGCCACAAATCAATCATTTCCATCTTCACTTAATTGAATTTTCTCTATATAACACCTTGATTATTGTGAAAAATATTTGAAATAAATTTGAAAATGTCTTCTATTCAACAACCATCAAGAAATGATGATAAACAAGATGATGATACATTTTCGAATCGTGTCAAAAATTTGACAGTACAAAATACAGAAAATATCTTGATAAATGATTTTTATAATGGAGTTGATTTTCCAACCAAACCAAATATTCAAGCTGAACCCTCAGTTTATGATACTATTACTGGCTTTAATCCATTCTAGAATTCATTCGAAAGTAGAAAAATTCAGGTGAAGCTTGCCTAATAAAAAAAACTTTAATCTTTTTATAATAATGTATTAACAACGTTTTATGTCATGCTTTAATAGTATTAACTCGATATTAGAGACAACCTTTTATGTGGGAATGTCTTTACTTAAATTAATATTTGTTTGCAATATTCTATTGTGGCAATTTAAAATTGTTGTATTTTATTTCTTTATTCGAACTTCTAATTTGATATCTACCCCTATTTTTCTTTTTAAAGATTTATACAAGTAAATTAATTATAGTTATCTTTTTTTTATTCTTTTTGTAAGTTCCGTCATATTATACTTATCATCATGTTTTGAGCAAAATACGTAGGATCATATCGTTACCATGATCTAGTTAATTAAGAACACATGTTACGTTCTTTCGTGATAAATAAATTTGTTTTTATTATCTCAGTATAAAATATCGAATCATCTTTGTGAAGTGAGATTAAAAACTACGTTTAAACCGTTTAAACCGCAATGTAATTTCTGAATCGTGACCAATTAAAAATGGTGAACTAGCCTAATAAGTACTTCAATTGGAAAGATTTTTTTTATACAGATCACTAGTGACTTTTAAATATATGTGAATTGAAATAGTTCATTACTAGGCTTTATTTAGAACCTTTAAGCAGTTTTCAATGAACGAATAGAAGTAAAATGAAAAAAAATGCATTGAACGTGCATATAAACTATTAGTTGAGTACGTTAACTTCAGTGGCTTTTATACACTTCTTTTTTAGTAATTTATTTATCGTACAAGGAAGAAAATCTCCGGTTTCGAAAGGTGTATAACGTTCTCAGATGAAAAATTTTTCTGCAATTAAAAAAAAATTCGCGGATGCCAATTACTTTTTGACGCCTTTCAAGTATCACACAGAAAATGTTTCACGAATATAGTTTTCGTTTTGCAAAGATACAAAAGACTGCACACACAAGGTATAGCGCCAGGTCCAGATTTATTGTCATAAACAAGGCATAAATAGCAGATAGTGTTATTGTAAGGTACGATAATATTAGTCAATTAATATTAAATCGCATAAGGAACAATACTAACAAATAAGGATTAATATCGCACGGCCTTATAGGAAGGATCATGCTGAGATTGTTTGACCAATATTTTTTTATAATATACAATATTTAGCATCAATAGCAAATCATTGTACAATATTGAATTAGTAGCTCGTTTGTGTCCAATATCGAATTTTATTGTTAATTATAGATCATTAATTAAAATAATTTTTATATTATTAATTTCCATAATAAGATAGCCACGTGAAAAACGGACATTATTTAACATAAGGTCTTCTATATATTCCTACTGCGGATCAATAATTTTAACTTAAATTTTGCTTGTAATGATTTAATATAAAAAATATTTTTTTTTATAAATTTTATTATTTCGAATGGAATATTGGTTGATGGTATAGATTAATAGAAATTAAGGAAAAAAAAATTGATTTAAAAGTTAAGCTTTTTTTTTTTTATAAAGCATGACGTACGATAATATAGATATTGAACGATCATAATTTTTGAGCATAACGCGTCAATTAATGAACGATTTTAGGTTTAGTTAACCTACAATGATATTCTGATTAAACCTAAGCTTGAATTTGTGTATAATAATTTCGCAGCACCAATTTTTTTTTCTTTTATGCATTCTTGGCGCAGCAACTTCGTTGATCTCGCAACACAAAATCTTATAATGAATTTTATTTATTTAGATAATAAAACTAAAATTTAAAATTTTCTTCCAATCCAATGAATTATTTTTCATCTCAAATATGTCTACTTGTTATTAAAACATAATTTTGCTAATGATATTTGAATCTAATCGATTTCTTTGGGGAGTAACTAAATTATTAGCATCAGAAAAAAAGTCTTTCTGATGGTACAGAAGTGGCCAGAATGGAATATAGGATAATGGGCTTTATTTGTTACCTACCATGCAAAAGAATCATACTCCTCAAGAGCTGGCAATTCTGGTAAATTAAGGTAATGTTAGACTTCATTATTTATTGGAGTTACATTTCTTTCATTTTTTTCTTCCAAAAATTACTCATTGTTGTTAAATTACTCTGACCTTAATTAAAAATTACAAAAATACTAGAAATTAAATCTTCTTTAAGAACCTCATATTCTGTTTGCAATTGATTAATTTCTTACATTCTTTGGGAGAAAAAGTCTAAACCTTTATAATAAGGATCAAGAAATAATCCTTTTAAATAAAATACTTGAGAAATTCCCATCTTGATTGTCAATTTTCCAAAATTGCTTTTCTACAATTTTCTGTTATATCAGAGTAAATTCAGTTTCAAGAATTTCTTTTATATTACACAAACTTGGATAAGTTAAACCAATAATAGGATATATTATATCACTTAAAAGTCTTGTTACACTTTTAAAAAGACTTAAAATTTCTATCTTTTCTTTAATTATTTTTCATTCATATGCAATTGAATACAATTCTTGCAATTTTCACCATTCTTATGAACATGTAAACTTCTATAATTAATTATAGAAGATTTTAATATTAAAATTGCTGATTTAAGAATAATAAGTCTTAGAATGCATATAATGTTAAGTTTTAGTGAATATTATTAGCTTTTATTATATCAAAAATAACAAGTTTCTTAACTTCTTATTCTAATTCTTCTTCATCTTTTTTAATCATTGTTATCGAAACAAATAAACATGTGATTCTTTTAATTATTATTTCTTTTTATCATTTGCTAAAAAAGCAATTAAGGTATTTATAATTGTTAATCAATACTTTTGCTATATCCAATTCTTTTCTAATACTTAATATGTAACACAAGAAATTCTTTCACTAATATTCACATAACCATATGTTTTTATTATATTTGAACTATTATCAGTTACTATAGCTATATTTTTGAACTAATTTATATTCATTAAATAAATTAACTAAATGTTTCTAAATCTTGATTACACTATATAAATATAACAGTTCTTTTATATTAAAAAGTAATTCACATAATTCAAATTTAAATGTTATCCAATCTGCTGTAATACCTAAATAGGGTAAGTATTGATGAATCTAAGCATCAAATGTTAAAAAAATACTTTCTAATTATAAAAGTTAATTCTTAAATTTATCTATTTCTGCTTTATATACTGATGAAATTTAATCTTTAGATATCTGGAATGCTTTGGAATTACTTCACTTAACTTTACAAATTTAAAGGTTTAATGACTTAAGAAAAACATAGAAAATTTATTTATTCTAATGATGAACTCAAAAGCAAATTAATGTATTAATTTACAATCAAATCCTAGATAATAGACATATAAAAGGAAAAAGTAATTATATTTCAAAGTTAAATCCTTTATTTATTACTTGAACTTATAATAAAACTGAAACTTGCAATAGAGTTAATTTATAATTTGAGCAAAAAACTATTCTACTTATACAAAATTAATTTATTATAGCTAACTAGTAGTTATGCTGTTACATCCAATTTGTAACTCAAATAAAATTCACAAAAATTAATAATGTTAAGACCAAATTCAGGAAATCACAATGAAGATTTGTAGTAAACATCAAGGATTATTCTTAATTACACACGAGTAACTTCTGGATATTTTGAGATCACGTTTCAGTGACTACACCATAAATCAATACAATGAATCAATACAATACCATGCAAAGTTAATAAATAATAATTATATATACACAGGTAAAGGGTTGCAAAGGATAAGTTTTAACTTAGTTAATTATACTCTTTATTAATAATATAATAAATTGTAAGTTCTTTACCTCGTAAGGTCATAAGATAATAATTTCATCCAGTAAAATATTATCCTTACTCCTTCTTAAGGTATGTATTAATTGATGGATTTATTCATTGGTGTCATTTCTCAATAAAAATATAAAGGTATTTATATATGTTTGATAATTATAAAATAAACTAAACTAAATATATCTATGAAAAATAAATAACATCCTTAAGGAAATAAAGTTGCCAAAATTGACCAGCAAAGATGATCATGTAAATAAAGTTGCCTGTTATACTGGAAATAAAATTGACATCTGGATCTACAATGTTTCACATTGATTATCTTAGAACATAAAGTTAACATCAGGATCGATAAGATGATAAATAAGAACATTTAATTAATATTGGATTTTTAATCAGATTTTAGCCAAAATTTTACACTGTTACAATGTGAACTTTTCTTACTTATTAGCTAAAATATATTACAAATCAAAATAGTAGTTTTGAGATTTTTACTAATTTTTTTCTTTTTAATAGAAGTAGACTTTTTATTATTAGTTAAGATAAGTTTACAAATTAGAATGTTATTTTTGGAATTTTTACTATTTTTTTTAATAGAAGTTGATTTTTTTGCTATTTGTTAAGGTAAATCTACAAATCAGAATGATAGTTTTGGGATTTTTACTAATTTTTTTACTTATTAATTAAGGTAAGTTTACAAATTAGAATGATTATTTTTTGAATTTTTACTAATTTTTTTCTTTTTTTATTAGGAGTAAACTTTTTGCTTATTAGCTAAAGTATATTACAAATCGTAATACTTTTAGTGATATTTTTTAGATTTTATTATTTTTTTTTTTAAAATAAAAATTGACTTTTCTTGCTATTAATTAAAACAAGTCTAACAAGTCTACAAATCAGAATGGTGGTTTTTCAGATTTTTACTAATTTTTTTTTGGAGTTGACTTTTTTTCTTATCAAATATAGTAAATAATTAAATTTAATAAATTTTTAAATCAGAAGCTTTATTATTAATAAATATATTTTCTTATAATTAAATATATTATATTAATATAAATCATATCAATAATAAAAATTCTTTTTATTTTAATTAATTAGGATTACTTACTTATATAAAATAAATAATTATAATATTATCTGTATTATAAAAATTTACTATTTATATAACATTGATATAATAGGTAATAATAAGAATATCCCTATTAATAA